TTACCCTTGCTTGTACTATTGGTCTTTGATTCATTGCTTCTTAGATTCTGCAGAGGTTTCCATGGATCTACCCATTGTGGCAGAGCCTGCTTGTCCTGATAAGGGAAAGTCTCCATAGGTGGCTGAGTCAACCAGTGATGTGCCCGAACTTTCCAAAGTTGCTGATGAGGTAGCCTTTGTTTCATTTCTTATCTTCACTTCATTTACTGCAGTGAAAATGCTAAATGCTTGGATTTTTGTTTGAAGGATACTGATGCCATCTACGCTCCATCCAGAACTTATTCACTTCTTGGGAACAAGTAAAGACATTTCGCCCTTCTTCAACCAGTAGTCCTCTGCTTCATCTGCTGCTTTCTCGGAAGAAAATATGAATACTCTTAAGCAATCAGTGTTTGAATATGTTTCTTTTATGGACATGGATATCGGCAAAGCCAATGCTGCTAGACAAAGAGATAAATTTGAGCTTTTGAGTGCGAAAATGGCGCAAGCACTTAAACTTCCTTCGTTCAACAGTTCATCTAACTTTAAGGTGACGTTAAAGATTATCCATTCCAAAATCAGCTCTTTGTTAGCCAAGAATGTCGAGTTGAAGGCCAAGAGTACTCAGTATCTTCATGATGTATCTGAAAATGAGTCTTTGCTTCAAGAGATTGATAAAGCCAAAGTCGAATTAAACGAAATCTCCTCTGAAGTTATGGTTGAGGATTCCTTGATGATAAGCTTAGCTGCAGAGAAGAAGGAACTCCAAGCAAAGATGGACGATTGTAGGGCTAGATTAGTTGCCAAAAAATGTAATAATTCCCAAGAAATTGAGCGAACCAAGTCTTTGGTTGAGTGTTATACAAAGCTAAAAGTTGACGAGGATGTAACAACTGAGTTGTATGCTGTTTCTTTTAAGCAGAGTGAGGAATGAGGGAAACTTAGGGAACAAATGCATTCAACTTGGGGTAAATTGTAATTAAGACGTTGATGCCTTTATCTTCCTTGTATTTTTGTGCTGGCAGCCACTGTTAATTCGAATGTAACGGCAACCAATGTCATTAATGGAACAACTATTTTATTTACTTGCGTAATAATTAACGTCTTCTTCAATCGTCAACCCCCAAGTATTTAATTATCTTATGCTAAACTCGTGTACATTTTCCCTCATGGAATTTTTACACGGAGCAAAACTTTTGGTAGTCCGATCTTCTTTTCCAAGTTTTGGGTCATTTAATTTCAGTTACTATACATGTAAGTGGCCATTCATGTTCCGTCTTTTCACATTCACACCTCTATAAATGCGTGTGTGTTACACATTTGTCATTTTCATTCTCTACAAAATCAGTTTACTTGCCATCGTTTGGCGTTTCAGACAATTAATCAATTATTTCTTCCTTTAACAGGAATAGATCATTTGATATGTTATCCATTTCGCTGTCTGTCTTGATATTACCTTTGGTATGGGAGATATAGGAAATGTTATTTGGCCAATGAAAGTATTCTCACCGCCTCCATTTATGTTCTCCAGAGGGAGTTCTAGATGAGAGGCAATTGCTTGTTACGAGTGCTTCTCAAGCCACTTGCTCGCTGAGAGTGCTTCTCAGCCTTCTTGTCTGCCATTGCAGCAATGCAATTAGGAAGGCAGTTAAGGCCAATTCACCATTTTCTTTGTGATTGATAGAAGAATGATGACAACCTGCTCATAATCTGGCTTATAGAGCATATTGTATTTTGTTTCTCATGATTTGTAACGAATATTTGATAATAAAAGAGTTTATTTGAACGCATTTCGTTCTCGTTTTATTTAGTCATGATCGCTCAACAATGTTATTTATTTATGTCTTTATTTGTTCACTTTTCCATAAGGAATGAACATACTTTTTAAGTATTTGTCGTTAATGAATCTCACGTGCTTAGTGTCATCTAAATCTTCCAAATGATAGGCTCCATTAGGCAATACGCTTTTCACTTTATATGGTCATTCCCAATTGGGCGACCATTTGCCATACTTTGGATCTTTTTTATCAAAATTGAGTATTGTTTTACAAACCAATTCACCCAAACTAAAAGATTGGGCTATAACTTTTTTGTTATAAAATTTAGCCATTCTTTATTTTTGAACTTGCAATTTATCTAGGACATCCAACTTTAATTCGTCCAACTTCAATAGGTTTGGGGCTACTGACTCAGCATACTCATCATCACTTGACCTATATTGCAAATACACTCTGATCGATTGCACATTAATTTCCATAGGCAAAACAGTCTCTTGTCCATAAGTAAGTTGAAAAGGAGTAAACGAGGCGACGTCCTGTAAGCCCATAAGGCTTTATTTAAGCATTTGTGCCAATTTCTAGTATTTTCATTTATCATTTTTCTTATGATATTTTTTAGAATCTTATTAGAAGATTCTGCCTGTCAATTAGATTGGGCGTAATAAGGTGTGGAATTTACTAACTTAACTCCAAACTCGCTCAAGAATTCCTTAGTATACCATCTGAGCATTTCTTGAATAGTTCCTCATTTATCAATACATAATTTAACGAACGCAACTTCATTTTTCTACTACTTTCCTTGCTCGGTTCTTTCAAGAACCTTTTAATTTCTACTCTCCAATCTATTGCATCTCCATCTTGTATGCAATGAACTTCAATCCTTCTCGCCCTCCTTTGTACTACAAGCAATATTATCCATACTCACAAATAAATTCCCAATTTAAAGCTTTTGAATAACCCGAAGCCATTTGGGCTAATTTGTTTGCTATATCATTATATATCCTATTAACATATTGATCTCTACTTGGTCAAATTCTTTCAACAATTCTTAGGCGATTTCGTATTGACTTACAACGGAATCACTTTTGCATTTAAAATCAGCAATTAATTGGTGAATTACCAATTGAGACTCGCCCCTAATAATCACATTCTTTATTCACATATCTACTAACAGCTCTAAACCCATGATTAATTCTTCGTATTCGGTTTGATTATGAGTACACATCCTATCCAAGGTGAAAGCAAATTTATAATAAATCCCTAGGGGATTTATCAAAACTATACCTACCACTGCACCTCTAGATGTTTTTTATCCATCAAAGCACAAAATCCAAGGTTCTAATTCGAATGAATTGATCTCCAATTCAATCTCCTTAGACATGTCAGACGATTGTGTAAGGGACAATACTCTTGAGACAAAATCCCAAAAATAAGTACTTTATTTATGAAGATTACAATTGGGAAGAAACAAAATGCCTCCAAGTGGCACAAGCACACGAAGTGAATTGAAAGTTTGCACTTAGAAAATAAATAAATTGAAATTACATATTCTATGTTGAGAATGATTGATTCGGTATCTTCCTTCTATGTCTTATTTTCTTTTTTATACTCATTTGATGATTTTCTCTGTAGAACTACTTGGAAACTCCGGGCGCTTTATTACTACCTACTTTCTTCGTGATGTCTGACTTGTCAAGGAACTGCAGTTCGCAACTGTTGTTATTACTCTTGTTGTTTAACCGCTTGTAACCGAGATTTTCGAATCATAGGGTGTGATAATATTGCTCAGTAATCGCTTTAATAACCGTCGTTTTAAGTAATCACAAGACACCGTATTCGCTCAAATCTTGAGCGACACAAAGGCTTGGGCGAGAATGGGATCATCGCTCTGGGCGATAGTAAGACGCTTCATTCGCTCAGATCCTTGACGTCTTGCAGGCTTGGACAATGATATTACTTTATTTATGGGTCTCCGCTATATTATACAATGGTCTGATTTTGGCCTATATTTTGAACTCCTTGACTGGGCTCCAATTTTTGGACCGTTTAATTGGGCTTCATTTTTTGTATATCAACAGAAAGAAAGAACGACAACAATTGAAGTGTACCCAACACTCCGAACTATGCTAATTATAAAAGAACATATCCTTCTCAATACAAGAATGTCGGGTTAGCCAGTCCAGCAAAATTCTTAGTCCAAGTCCAATTTTGGCTTCCCAAACATGTAAATTTCAGCCCCTTCCATTAGGCCATAAGAGCTAGACCAAAAGATTGGTATGGACACCCTACATTAAGACTTGGGGAAATTGACATAAATAAGTGTTTAGTTGAATCATCAAACTTCAATTTAGTTTCAAATTTTGTCATTTCTCAAATTAATGATCATTACTTAATTGACAATCATGCTACAATTAATTTTTCACATAGTCACTGTGTGACATACTAATTTACCGTAACGTCACTCACAAAAGTACTGAAATAAAAAGGAACATACATTTTACTTGATGAGTCCCTTTTTGTTTGTGTGCTCCTTCGATTCTCTTGAAGAGACGTCTATGTGCTTATGAAAAGTGGTACGGCAATTCATCTTATGCGTTACAATTTTGTGCGCAATACTTTAGTCCGGGGCAGTCCTTTCATTTCAAGCAGGACCCAGTACCTGAATAAAATGAACACCTTTCCTCCATATTTTATAGTTAGAACTTAGAAGACGCCTATATAATCTATTATACTAATCCTCCTAATATCCCTAAGTACAAAGCGGAAGGGACCTATCTTAATTTGTCCAAAATCCTAATATAATCCTTGTCAGTTGTTTAGAGTGTGTTTTTAGTAGTGCATTCCAATAAGATTGTGGTTGGTTGAGATTAATGCTGGTCACAATCATTAGCATTAATTTGTTTGTTAGATTGGGAGAAATAGTAGGTGTGTGAAAAGAGTAGGTTGAGATGTGCTGACACCAATACAAAAATCGTGGGGAGAAGAAGGTTCAATGAGTGAAAAATGTCTATCTGAAGGGTCAAAATTATTGGAAACACGCTTAGTTTTACCTTTGCTACCAATGGTGATCAGACTTATGTAACGACCAATTTGAAATTCCGCACAATTTTGAGCGAAATTAACTCTGTTTATAAACCAATTTTCTTCTTATCTCTCAATGATTGGAATTAGATACAAATATTCTTCATTAATTATACACAAACAGACACCAAAGACTGGACAGTTTCATACTGAATAAAATTTCTAAGTTTGAACAGTTCTTTTCCCACCAGATTCATCAAGAAGATTGATAAGATATAGTGCATTACTGGTAATTCTAGCCAAATTAGTAACCTTCTTCTTCACATCTGATCTGATATTGCCGTCAATCTCCTTGAATCCATCAAGGCAAGTGTCTTCATTCGTCAAGGCGGCGCTAACCCATGTTTGTGCGTTGCTCATTCGCCACTGGAAGTCTCCGCCGTGTAGGTTGTGGAGCTCCTCCAGAGTCTCGCTCAGCTCATCCACAGAGTCCCCCATTTGCTCAACGCAGTCATTTAAGACTCCCTCTTCCCTCTTGCTGTGGCTCTTCAGCTGGGACAGGAAAACGGAGGCCTTACGAGCTCGAGAGAGGCTGACTTTCACGGCCGCCTGAGCAAGGTCACGCGGGGTGTTGACTGGGCCCGAGTAGGAGGAGAGTGTTCGTAGGCAAATGTTGGGGTAGCTCGCACGGACACAAGAGGTACGCACAAGGTCGTGTTTTGGTGGCATGATGTGTTTTTTGGTACTATGGGTTGAAATTACGGGGAGGAGGAGGAGGAGGAGGAAGGCGAGAAGAGAAAAATGGATGAACATCGGCATTTTACTACTTGGTCGGTCGCGCTAGTGCGTGAAATGGCCAAGTAAAGCTTTAGGAGCAGTGGCATCTTGATCTTGTAAGAGAATGAACTGATTTATAGGAGGATGGGTTGGTTTTAGAAGCTAATAACAACGTGAGAGAGATGAATTTGGTCTTGAAGTTGAAGCAAATAACAAGACTAACCCATGGCTTTATTTCATCACTAAACTTCTGGAGAGTCATTCAACTTCGGTTAAATTTCAAATTTACCTATTTGTTACGTGCCATCTCCAAGTTTGGCGAAAATCCCTTAGTCCTTGTTTGTTGATAGTTAAAATTAGATTTTTAGTAGATTTTGATAAAAGTTGATAGAATGTATGGTTAAAAAGTTGTGAGACTAATGAAATATATTTCGCCAAACTTGATTTTGATAGAATTCTTATTTTAGTCAATACCAAACATGGGTCTTTTAGACTTTTAACTTCATGTTATCATTTTCGCTTCTAGAATGTCAGGTATCGAATATGTTGAAGATTGATTATGATATAATTGTCAACAAAATAATTTTCAATAATTTGTAGGATGATAGTTGATGGAATATGATAATGACGAAATTAGAAATTAAATCAAAATTCTATAACCGAATTGAGATTTTGTTGTAGGTTCAGTGATTACAAATGAAATTTACCCTGCTAGTGGGTTTAGGAGCTTAGAACCTTAGCTCTAGCATTTTGGGGATTCTATAGAAAATTAGTCGATGAATGGAGGGTAGTTATAGAAAAACAAGGATTGGCAATGTAAAGGGAGAAATGCCAAGGGCAGACTGGCAATGGACCGAGCTGGGTGTACCGGTCAGGGTGACAAACACCCTGACCGGCCCCTCACATCGGGGGGCCCCCCATATTTTTTTTCCCAATTTTTTATTCATGTGGGGTCGGCTCATGTGAGAGTTTGTAAACCTTTTTGTCAAATTTTTTTTGTACAAGTAGCTTTATTGGACTGGCAATTGTTTAATACTTAACCCTCCAAACCTAAACTTACTAGCCATTTATGATTGGTCAGTCCTTTAATAATAAATTATTTAAAATATATCAAGACAGCTCAGTTACTTATTTTGGAAAATAATTCTAAATCTAAAAGTTCAAATAAATAACTATTTTACTAACAAATAACAAATAGTAAATTATCAAATATATTTGAAAACAAAAAAACTACTTAAAAGCCATGTTCTAAAAAGCGCCAAAATGCGCCGCTTAGGCGAGCCCAGGCGCGACGCGGACCTAAAACGCTTCGAATTCTAGAAATGCGCGAAAACTGCGTTTTCCATCTAAAAAGCGCGCCTAATGCGCGCCTAGGCGGGATAATGCGCGCCTAGTCGTGCATTATCCCACCTAATCCCTTTTTTTAATTTTTTTTATGATATATTAAAAAATCTATTTTTTTATATAAAAATATATTTAATACCTTAAAAATACGAAACGCATTATGACGTTTATTCTTCGCATTGACACGCCTAAACTTGTGATTCTTGATTCTCAGCCTCGACGCATCGCAACGCATTACGCATTTTAGAACACTGCTTAAAAGTAACATTAACTTAGTTAAACATGTTAATTGTAAAGAATGTAAGGTGTATTTGAAATCCAACCATGTCTTGATATAATATTCAATTACATTAAAGAATTAGAGTAAATTGTTGTTTGTTTAGGGCCTACTTGGGAGTTTCGTCGTATCGTTTATGAAAGTTTTTAAATTGTCAATTTTGAACGTTTATGAGCGGATCGATTTTGAGTGATTTTAGTAACTTTTTGAAAACTCTCCAACCTATGTTTAAGATTTTATTATTCACCGATTATGAAAGTTTTTTAAAAAATAAAATTACGTATATATCTCTTAGTTATATTTTTTTAATATGATTTTTTTACTCATAAGTGATATTTTACTTATAAATAATTTTTTGTATATAAGTTAATATTTAATTTAAAAAAAATGGGTGTGTTTGAGCCACATTATTTTGAAAGAATGTATTTTAGAATAGTAGATTGATGTAAAATGTGTGGTTGAAAAAAAAATGAAAAGTTATTGATATGATGGAAAATATTATTTTATTTAAAAATATGTGGTTGAAAATGAGTAGAAGACTGAGAATGAAAATTTTAATATTGCTCAAACAGAGATTTAATTAAAATTTAAAGTTCATATTTTTCACTTATAAATAAATTTTACAATTATAAATAAATTTTATACTTTTTAATAACTTTTAAGTGAATTTTGTCTTATTAGTAATATTTTTATTTTATAACTATTTTTTACATACAAATGATTTTTCACTTATAAGTAATTTTTTATTATAATGTATTTTTTCTTATTTTACAAGTAATATTTTACTTATAAGAATTTTAGTTATAATATAATTTTTTAAATGATAAATAATTTTTTAGTTAATATATTTTTATTTACGATTTAGTTTTGAACAAAATATAGTAGTTGCAAATAATTATTTTATAAAGAGTAAAATTAGAAGAAATTATAAAGAGTAAAAAAAACTCTCAAACAAGCGCTTGGCGGTTTAGGATTTGTGAGGGGGTAATAATACTGCCATTAATTTAGGAACAAAGAAAAACCTTGTACACTCTTCGAGTATGGTAGAATTCATCTTCCTAACACACAATTTTCAATTAACATTTGATAATCTTTTATTTAAGACTGTACATATAAACTCGAAAACCTTGTACTCATATGCACAAATTGTCCTAGCATACATATTTGTTACGTACGCATGTTAACATAAACATCAATGTGCCCATCCCACATTCTAGATGCAAAAACATGTTAAATGTGACATATATCTAATATATTTTGTGGAATAAAATGAACATAACATGAAAAATATATAATTTTTGTACAACATATAAAACGTTAAAAAAAAAAAATTCAATCATTATGTTGCCACTTTTGCTTAAACACCCTTACTTAGTAACCCGTCCTCATTCATTTGTCCCAAGTACCCATAAATATCAAATGTGTTACTCCCAACTACAGAAAGAGGCAATTAAAGATGAGATTACGATAATATGCTATAAAAAACCATTTTCAATGAGATAGTCCTATCCAGTTACTCCTTACACATTAATTTGCTTAACATCACTTTCCTTGTGTATGCCACTATGTTATGTACCAAAGCTTCAGAGAGGAATTTATTGGAAAAAGAAACTCTCTAGGATTGGCTAGTTAGTCGTATGCATGTTTAATTATATAAATGTGCCCATCCGACCTTTCAGATATTTTAACAGGGATGAAAAAAATAAAGTTTGTTCCATTCGTAATTGATGAGGCTTAAGTCACTTCTTCTTAATCAAGCGTAGCGGTCCCATTTTCCCCAAGTACCTATAGATACCAAACATATTACATCCAACTACAAAGAAAGTGGGGCATTTGCGATTATATTAGCATAGTCAGTTGAAAGAAGCGTTTTAAAATGGGATGATCCTCACTTCGTTGAATGCTCCTTAAGCTTTTGTGAACTCATCTTGTAACATTAAGAATCTCACACTATTCTTTACTATTCATGTTTTCTGTCCTCATTTTGATCGTATATGGTGGATCTCGGTCTGTTGTAGTATGTATATTGGTGATTTAATTCTAACAATTTGGCCATTTTTAAAGACGATTTTCAATTAAAAATTGAAAACAGTTAGATTAAATCTTTATATGCTTGAAAAATTAATAGTCTAACCAAATATTTCACGTTTTCTCATGAGTATACCTAAAATTCACAAATCATCAATGTGCCACTAGAATAAAGTTGAAAAAATCTACTTGTACAAAAAAAATTTGACAAAAAAGTTGACAAACTCTCACATGATGGCTGGCCGCACATGAATAAAAAATTGAAAAAAAAAATATGGGCCCCCCCTAATGTGAGGGGCCGGTCAAGGTGTTTGTCACCCACCACCGGTACACCTAGCCTCTCTCAATAAAGTTATGTAACTCATTTAGCACTTTCTCACGAGCATATCTTGATTCGTATACAGGCTAATGTAAGCATCAATAACCCTATCCCTCCTTTTAGATGCTATAATATATTGCACGCGATAGGTACTTCTACCATAATTTGTTAAGTTGTCACTTTTACTTAAACATGCTTGGTTAGGAATAGTACCTATAGAGACCAAACATGTTATTTCCATCTACAAAGAGATACGAGACATTAAAGATGACATTCACTATTTCTCCTTAAACATCAATTTCCTTAAGTGTGTAAGCACACTAGGGTACGTGCTAAAGCTTGATTCAACCACACCACCAGGCCAACTACAGTTCCTACCTCTATCGTCCACCCCAGTCCTCGATCCCTCACGAATCTTTCCAACAGGAGTGCCAAAATCTTGAGTCGATTTTGATCAAGTTGGAGTCAACTAATAAAGAAGAAGCTTATCACAAACATTGTAGGAGAATTGAGGGCCCATTTGAAAATAAAGAAATGAGAATCAAGCAGAGCATGTGCCAGTTGCAGGCATCGCGGTGCTTAATTTTCCCTACCATATTTCAATTATTGAATCAAATTCCACTAACTTGGGTACATTCTATTTTAGTTTTCTATTTTTTTATTGGAGGAAGTTTGTACGAAAAGACATCAATAATTTATAGATATTTGTATTTTATGGATGTACAAACAGGAAAGAAGTAAATACCCTACCCCACATGGTTTTCGTTTGGGAGCTCAGATTTGCTGCTTCGAATTTGTTTTTCCACATTTTCTTACCATAATCACTTCTTAACAAATAGAACGATGTCAAGGTGTAGTGCATATGATCATCCCGTTTGCTAAGAACATACATGGCATAACAAGGTGTTGAGAATTTATTACGTGGAAATTACATGGAATCAGATTTTTGAGTTGCCATTTCAAAAATCAAATTTAAAATTTATT